AGGAACAGTGTAGGGCCCAAGATACAGCCTTGAGGAACACTAGCGTTCGTGATAAAAGAGCCGAAGGAGAAACCATTTAGGACGACCTTCATTTCACGGTTTGACAGGAATGATTTTATTAAGTCAAGTATTTTGGCTGTTGTACCTTGCAACCTTCATCGGTAACTTTCTTAGAATTTTGAACTGAACACTTTCTTCAATCGACAAAGGAAAATTCCTCTCATTTAACTTTCAATTTAATACTCACCAATCTTATTGACCTTCTGTTTTTACTTTTTTGTTTCTTCCACTGTGCCAGTGTATGCGACTTTACAACTGAAAGGAAACCAAGTATTTTTAAATGAAAGTTTTATTCGGTATCTGTCACTGTCCATTTAGTTACCTATTTGTCTGTCAGACTAGATATCCCCCCATCTACCTATCAAGTTTGTACCCCTATCTATCTATCTATCTATCTATCTAATTATCTTCATTATCTATTTTGCCATTATTTTGTTTTTGTTTTGCATCTATCTATCTATCTATATATATATATATATATATATATATATATATATATATATATATATATATATTTATATATTATCAATCTATCTATCTATCTATCTATCTATCTATCTATCTATCTCGATGTTTTCCTTATCTATCTATATATCTATCTAATTTTGTTCGTTATCTGTCTACCTAATTTTGATTGTCGTCTATCTATCTATCTATTTTTCTCAATGTTTTCCTTATCTATCTATCTATCTATATATATATATATATATATATATATATATATATATATATATATATTATATCTCAATGTTTTCCTTTATCTATCTATCTATCTATCTAATTTTGTTCGTTATCTATCTGCCTAATTTTGTTTGCCGTCTATTTTCTCAATGTTTTCCTTATCTATCTATCTATCTATCTATCTATCTAATTTTGTTCGTAATTTATCTGCCTAATTGTTTGTCATCTATCTATCTATCTATCTATTTCAACGTTTTCCTTATCTATCTAATTTTGTTCGTCATCTATCTATCTAGTTTTCTCAATATTTTCCTTATCTATCTATCTAATTTTGTAAGTTATCTATCTGCTTAATTTTGTTCGCCGTCTATCTATCTATCTATCTATCTATCTATTTTCTCAATGTTTCTATCTATCTATGCTTGCTTTTGCATATGAAAAAAAAAAATTGAAAAAAATTGTTTTCTGTCCCCTTAAATCTCCCCTCATATCAGTTCACTGAGTTGTTCGCGTATCAGGCACGGGGTAACACACGCTCGGCCAAATTTATCACCCCGAGTGACTACTACAATTATTTAGAACTATCTAGCACTCGATAGAGAAAAATTTAAATCACATCTCGTTAAATCATTATTGTGTCATTGTTTCATCTCCATTATTTACTCCTGATTTGCTTCTACCGACTTCTTCTTTTCATCTCCCCGATTATATCAATATTAAAAGCGTGGGGGCAATTGATTTATTTTTTTTTTAATTTCGATAAAAGCCTACCACTAGCAATTCACTCTTTAAAAAAAGAGTAAATAGATAAAAAAAAAGAAAAGAAAAATAATCAACCGCCCATCAAGATGATCGAGAATTGTTTAAAATTGTTTAAATGTAACTCTCCTGTAAAAAGGCGAAATTCGAATTAATTAGCTGGTTTAAAATCTAAATTTTCATAACAATATCCCGAGCAATCTTTAAAACGATTTCCTAACTGAAACATTTTAAAAGATTTTTTTTTTTTTTTTGAAATTCTTTCGGAAAAGGGGAAATCTATAATTGCCGTTTGCATTTAATGCCTCGGGTAATAGCGTGCACTGTCAAATAAGATCGGAAAAGGCAGTCAATATGAAATCGTACGCATTTCAAATGAGCAAATGCCCTTAATGTAATAGGAATATTGATCTCGACACTCAGAGCGGAAATCGTTTCTCTCTGAAAGGCCGTCTCTTGCATCAAGCGTATATAGTGGGAGTTCCGGTTAATGGAAGATGGCGTCACTCGTTCTGCTCGGAATACAAGCCAGCATGCTGAATCACATTCCGATGCTGACCTCTTGGTGTGTCCTTCGTTGGCGCTACTCCGTCCCTTTTGGCGTTTGAAGATCTGATTTTAACCGGCGATTATGCTATGTATTCAGGCAGGTATTTATGGCCGCCGGCAAGAGGAACAGGCCAAGAAGCTCGTTTCGAACTGGAGATGCCAAAGTGAAGCATGTACTGAAATTTGACTATTTGGAATATTTTATTTCTTTTTTTTTTTTTTTTTACAGACGACAGGAAAAAAAGTGCTTTCGAAACCCGAAGCGACATTGAAATAGCAAAAGTTGCCTTCCAAAAATGAAACAAAGTATTAAGTAATAAGAAAATTTTCGGTTTGGTTTGGTTTCTGTCTATATTTCTAAGATGAGGTATTATGTGCACTATTTACATTATTCGGACTATTGTCCTTATCTGTGTCGCCATATTTATTACAACGTTTCGGCTCTTCAGTATCTGTCTATATTTCTGAGATGAGATATTATGTACATTATTTACATTATTCGGACTATTGTCCTCATCTTTGTCGCCATATTTATGACAACGTTTAGGCCCTTCAGTATCTGTCTATATTTCTGAGATGAGATATTATGTACACTATTTACATTATTCGGACTATTGTCCTCATCTTTGTCGCCATATTTATTACAAAGCTTCGGCCGTTGTACGCTCCGGCCTTCTTCAGGTCGTTGGAATGTCAAACTGAACCCTTTACTTCGCTCACTAGGGTAGACTGTTCTAGTTCCATGTGCCATGTTTAATGGATGCCAGTTGTCAGTTATCTCCTGTTAATTCCCCTCTCCGAGTTCTCCACTGCCTTAACCGGGTATTGAACTCACACTCTTTCGGTCCTGTCACTTGATCTAACTAACGCCTTGATCCACTCTGCCATGTGTCCTCAATTGGATATCAAAAGGGATTTGACAAGCAAGTGTTGTGGAGCGCCCTAAAACATGGACGTGACACCTAGAGAAGTCCTGGTCATCCACTGCAGCCTGGCAGTCTCCCGTCATAACGGTTCCCCGTGCCACTGGATCAAGACTTCCCAGGTCGAGAGAGAGGGATAGTCCCCGTGTAACGATCTCATTATAAAATCCTCACGTACAGGTCCGATATGCAACTCATTATGCAACTTGTTATTCATTACTTATTATTATTATTATTATTTCTGTTGTATAAACATTTCCTTCCGGGTAACAACTAGAGACATGGCTTCAGGACTTTTTCCACTAATAATTTTAAATTTGTAAAAAACAAACAAACAAAAATAAAATCACACACTTTTTTTACACAGATAAAGCTCTTCGTAATGTTAAAGCATGGCTTATTATTATTATTATTATTATTATTATTATTATTTTCTTTAATTTCTGTTATATACACATTTCCTTACGGTACAAACCAGAGACCTAGGTTCAGAAATGGCTTCAGGACATTTTCCACTGATCATTTTTGTAAAAAAAACAAAAACGAAAAAAAATGACATCACAAACTTTTTACGTAGATAAAGCTCTTCGTAATGTGCGAACTTTAAGGCATGAATTATTATTATTATTATTATTAACAGTTTAGAGAAGAGCGCGATTTAAGAAAAGATAAAAAAATAAAAAACAGTTTCTTTACATTGTGAAATATTGCTTAACATTGTTAAACAATGTGTTTTTTCTTTTATCTTTTCTTAAATGGGATCTTAACTATCAAAAAATATTGGAAGAGTTACATCAGTCATTTTGTTTATTATTATTATTATTATTATTATTATTATTATGTTAGTTTTGCACATTGACTTATTATACGTAAATTCTGTTCTTGAGTCATGGTATCAACAAGACTCCTCCTAAGAACTTTTCCCGGTAATCCTCATAGAGTAAATGATGGCAATTCTCCGTAGCATTTTTAAAATCTTGGTCTCAATTCCTATTTTCTTTTCCCTAGGCGCTTATTTTTTTTTCACTTTTCTAAAAAAATAAATGCCTTTCTGATGTGCACTTTTTTTCATAATCCCAAGCCGAGTCATAACAAATGACATCGCGCAGGCGACAATTCTCGATGCTTGCCACTTAATTAAACAAAAGACAGCTATTAACAAAACAAAAAAAAAAAATTAAACTGACAAGGCTCTCCGCAGGATATCGGCTGTGGTTGTTAGAACGAATTTGGTGGGGGTTGTTTATTGGAGAGATGATGCACCAGTGATTTTTTTAATTTCTTCTTGAGTTCCTTTCTTTATCAGACCCAGAGCTCCAGCCGCAACAGGAAGAGTTTTAGTTTTTAAGCACTACATTTTATTATTATATCCATTATTTTAGTATCATTATTCGCAGTTGCAGTAAGGACAGACATTATGCAATTAACTCTCATTGAATTATATTTGCATCTGATTTTTATCTCTATCTAAAGTGTCAGCATGTGTGTGCCTGTTTGTGTGCTTGCATGATTTGATACTGAAAAGTTCAGGAAAATTGATCAGTCTGTCCATCTGTCTAGTGAACCGGCGTTTCTCGCGTCTTGCCGAAATTTTCGCACATCTCACGAAATCACTCCACCAGGGAAAAAAATAAACCTCGTTTTATATGAGCTTCGTATACATTCTGTATCGAAAATATTTTCCAGTCTGATTAGAAGCTTCTCATGATGGATATACCTCTATCATGAGATGCCTCTACAGTTTTACATCAAGGTCTATGGTAGCAAGTCTAAGAAAATTCAAACCATTTGAGCGTACTAAGGTTGGTTGCTGCGTGCCGGTCAATCGACTATCGACCTTTAACGGTAATGATGAGATTAGCCGTTTCCAGACAGGAAACACTCGACATTCATTGACCGAACAGTTAGCCTTACTCACGTTAGAGACTTATAAAATCTTTTTCTTTCTTTTAAAGCAGTTTTTCAGGAAATTAAACTTCTCAAGTCTGCTTGATGTTATAGCTCTTTCTAGCATCGATGAGGGCGTAAGGCCATATCACGTTGAAACACCGGTTCTCGTACAATCAGCGAAGTTAAGCAACGTCGAGCCTGGTCTCTACTTAGATGGATGACCGCTGTTGAATACAAGGTGCTGTAAGCTGTAATTTGAACAAGGTAGTGTAATTGGAATTCAGAGAGCCGATTTCAAATTCCAGTCGGGTTCGTGTTATGGTCCAGTTCCTTGTACCACGGTGATAGTCCAAGGTAGAACCAATAAAGAACTCGAACACGTATATGGAATAACACAGATATATTACAAACAGAAATATATACAGAGAAGTAGAAAGTGTTAGTACGAACAATCAGGTTTAGTAGTAATTGTCTGAACGCAACTCTGTTTCTGACTGCCTGACTCGCTCTGACTGTCTGTCAAACTTCTGACGGACTTCCCCCTGGACTTCAGACTGAACTCACTCCAGACTTCAGACGGAACACAGACTTCAGACGGAACTCTCTCCTTCCTCTTGAGGCGCAGTATTTATTACGTATGGAATAGTCCATTATGTTATTATGGGTAAGGTCCCATAACAGTTCGTTATATTCATATAGGCGCAAATACTCTTGGGAAGGTATGAATCCACTTCTTTTTCCTCAGCTGGGGATTAATTAGTAGGACTTGTATCAGTAAATCCCTGTAAGGACACAAAACGCAATCAGCTCCCTTTAGAGATGAAGTAACGTGACGGCTGCTTAGTGACGTCACGCCATACAGTGAGGAAAGTGGCAGTCAATTTAATACGGTTTACAGTAATCAAACGAGACAGTCGTTTTTTTTTGTTTTTGTTTTTGGCTTGAGCCTGTCGGGGCAGTCTAAGGTTAAATCTGCCTCCCCTAGCAGCTTACAAGTCCATGGCGCCATTTCCCTTTTGGGATATGCCTTCCAAAGATATCGCAGGTCTTAATTTGGGTAAACGTAATATACACCATTACCTGTTAGTGGAATATATTCCCTCTTGGGAAATTAGTAGATGAATCCGGCCCGCTTGAATCTGCAGCCCTAAAATTGGCTTCTGGGGAAACGCAGAAAAATCTCCATATTATATGTAAGATCCTATCTTTTCGTTCTCCTTTCACTCTGCTTGTCATGTAGATATATTTTTATCTGCGTGGGACACGTATAAATATGTTCATAGTTCTGTGTATGTCTTATGGGTATAAAAGTCTCACCGAAGTTATTATATCATAGACATAATAATGCCCAAAATGGGAGAAATACTAAAGGGAGATAAACCTTTCTTCAAATATCTCTCTCATTATATCTAAAATATATTTTCTAAAATAACCTATTTTTTAAAAAAAGTTATATAATAATGCCCAAAATGGGAGAAATACTCAAGGCTTTAAACCTTTCTTCCAATACCTCTATCAATATCTAAAAAGATATTTTCTGGCTTTAAATAACCTACAAAAGGTTGATAAGTTTAAAAGTTATATAATAATGCCCAAAATGGGAGAAATACTCAAGGCAGAATAAACCTTTCTTCCAATATCTCTCTCATTATATCTAAAAGATATTTTCTGGCTTTAAATAACCTACAAAAGTTTGATAAGTTTAAAAGTTATATAATAATGCCCAAAATGGGAGAAATACTCAAGGCAGAATAAACCTTTCTTCCAATATCTCTCTCATTATATCTAAAAGATATTTTCTGGCTTTAAATAACCTAAAAAAGTTTGATAAGTTTAAAAGTTATATAATAATGCCCAAAATGGGAGAAATACTAAAGGGAGAATAAACCTTTCTTCCAATACCTCTATCATTATATCTAAAAGATATTTTCTGGCTTTAAATAACCTACAAACGTTTAATAAGTCGTAAAAATACACAAATCAATAAATCTACTATTGAGGGGAGTTTCTTTCCTAATCTTATGTTTAGGGTAGCTTTTTAGGATAGGCATGACTCCAACATGAGAAACAACTACGGTTCTCGAGAAAAAGCCTTAGCAGTCAGTCTAAAAATCTGAATTCAAAACAGTTAGGTGTACTGGCGTTGAGAAAAGGCGTGTAAGAAAATGGTGTATCTTCACACCGGAGCCTATACACTGAGGCGATTCTGAGAGAATTAGATGTCTTACCAGGCTTCATTCTTGGTGGCCACAATCTTAACGACATAACACAGTGTTGATATCAGACACAAAAAGGGAACTACAATAACTCCCACAGAAGGTAGTAAAGGAAAGCAAGTAGGAAAGAATAAGCCTCAATTGAAAGCGAACAGAATGCATGGCTATCAGCAAAAGGAACAATCCAACATGCAAATTGGGGGTACCAAAATCAAACAAGCATAGCAATTTAAATATCCGGGAAGTGTTTTAACAGAGGACGGAAAATGCGACACCGAAATCCGAAGGCGCATTGGGATAGCGAAATATGCCTTCTAAAAGCTAAGCAAAGTATTAAGAAATAGGGAAATTTAAATATCTGGGAAGTGTTTTAACAAAGGACGGAAAGTGTGACACTGAAATCCAAAGTCGCATTGGGATAGCGAAAGATGCCTTCCAAAAGCTAAACAGAGTATTAAGAAATAAGGAAATTTAAATATCTGGGAAGTGTTTTAACAAAGGACGGAAAGTGTGACACTGAAATCCGAAGGCGCATTGGGATAGCGAAAGATGCCTTCCAAAAGCTAAGCAAAGAAAGAAGAAAAAATTTCGTCATAAACAAAGAAATGTGTACTGAACGGTTATTTAGAAAAATAGTATGGAAAAAAATGGTGGGGGGGGCGTTTCATCCGTTAGGATTTCAGCGGACTGGGCTTTGTTAATGTTGTCACGTCTAGAGATACGCACGAAACGAGAGATGCTGGTAGTTTCAAAATTTTTGAAAGAATATTTTTTTCAATTTGTTATATAATATCAGTCCTCCTTTATGGCAGTGAATGCTAGAGAATCTCCTCACAGATGAAGAAGAATATTGCGGCGATAAAAATGTGGTTCTACAGAAGGATGCTGAGAATACCATGAACTGAATATGTGAGCAACGACAAAGTCTTAGAGGAAATGACAACCAAAAGGACACTTATGTTTAAAACCAGGAAGAGGTAATTGAAATTTCTAGGACACAAAAGCTAAGCAGAATATTAAGAAATTGAAATGCTTCGTTAGAAACCAAGAAAAAAAAGAATACTGAACTGTGACGCGACATCTGTCCTACTGTATGGCAGTGAATGCTGGACAATCTTCTCAAAGATGAAAAGAGAAAAAACAGAAATGGGGCTCTGCAGAAGGATATTGAGGATATCAACCGAACACGTGAGAAAATGGAAACAAAAAGGGACCTTATGCTTAACACCAGGAAGAGACAGTTGAAATTTCTACGGCACATGACGAGGAAAGAGGGCTTGGAAAATTTGACACTCACATGTTAAAAGCAAGAAGGACAGAGGAAAACAGCGCATAGTCTACCCAGCGAATTTGTGTAGACGGATGGCGGAACAGAGATTAGGAGAGATAATTAAATAAAAAATTACTCAGAGTTACAAAGCTAGGATATTGTGGATAGCCATTATAGCCAACATCCTGAAAGAATACAAGAAGAAGAAGAAGAAGAAGAAGAAGAAGAAGAAGAAGAAGAATCTTTATTGCCTGACGATGGATATGCCTTCAGGGTAAGAAGCGTCGCCGACTCTATCTAAATGACTATGTCACGTTGTGCTTTTATATTTAAATTGTCTGGCACAAGGGCATAAATATAGCGCACACACAGGGAGTGGCATATATTTCCTTGTCAATTCTTCAAAGTTATATCGGCCATTTCAATGTCCAAATAGAGAAAAGAGTTCTCTATTCAAATAGGCAAAAGAGTCGATTGTTTGCTTTGTGTAATTCGAGATGTCAACACCATATTGTAGTTTTATTACTTGGGAATTTCAAGAAACGCACAACGGCGTCCAGCTGGGATATTATTGCTTTTTCTGAAGAACCCTTCGACTGACACTTTCAGGCCTCTTCTTACAATAAAAGTGTTTTCCATTAATAGAGAAAAAGACTATGTTATTCTATGCCATTACGCAACGTGTGTGGAGGCTTCCATTTTGATCGCCGAAGAATAGAGTAGAAACAGATTTTATTAGAATGTTTAAACAGGAATTATATTCAGAGAGAAGCTTAAGGGTCAGGGCTTTAGACATAGATTCGAGAAGTAACAATGACAAAAAGACTCGGCTTGATTACCACATGGGGGGAATGTGATCAGATTGGCGCTGTCGTTTTCACTCGCTTCCCCCTTCTTCAAAGCACACACATGTGCACGCAGGCACACATCTGGACACCCGGGAGCGCGCACACACGCGCACACACACACACACACACATATATATATATATAATTATATTATTAAAAATTTGCTAGATTAATGTGTGAATATTTGTAGATACGGTTCGGACAGATGTTAGTCTATGTCCACACTTTATATATCTTCGTGGCCGAGAGGTTTACAGGATGTCGGATATAATGACAGTTTCTCTTGAGGTGGGGGTGCATATCTTGGTCTAATAAGATTTCTCGAATATTTAGGCCGGTAGACGAAGATAAATATACTTTTAAATAAATAAACGGAACGTCTACTCAAATAAGAGTATCCACTAAAAATAACGTTTAAGTAATAAAAAATCTTTCGGATTAATAAATAAAATTCCATCCCATTCTTTAGAAATTGCTTTGTTTACGTTAGGATAAGGAACTTAGCAGATATGTCTATTTCGATAGTCAGAGAAAAAACTGTGTTTAAAGGCGCTATTCAGCTTTGATTGTTTATCGACGCGTTCTGTAGCCAAGAAGCCCAAGCACGCCAGATCTGAGGGCGGTTTTCCCTAGGGGAACTGAGGTGATGTTTTCTCACTGTTGTAAAACAGAGGTATAAAGTAGATATTGATAATTACACATAGCTTTGCAAATCAATTAGCAAAGCTATGAAACTCTGAGCCGTACTGTAAACGTAGGTATATATATATATATATATATATATAAAAGTGAACATAGAAGTCAACACTTAGAGGCGACAGTCTGTTTCATGCTAGATGCAGTCGTCAGGCCATATATATATGTGTGTGTGTGTGTGTGTGTGTAAGAACAGTAAGATATATAATCTGGTGTTC